CCAAACATTAATGCAGAACTTCGTCACAAATTAATAACAAAAAGTTCCTAAAAATGTGTTCTGAACTACTTTGTTTTCAAATATCAAAATTAATAAAAAAAATATTGTTTATTTCAAGTCACCAGTCATTATTTCAAAAATGATTATGTCGAGATACTTTTAGCAATAATTACACATACATATGACATTTTGCTAAGGATACTTTGGGAAACAACTACTCTGCGAACTACAAGCCCCAGCACCAAGCACTGAGCACTGAATTACACCCAAGATGTAACAACAAGCTAAAATTATTCATCAGCAGTGTTACCAGTTTTAAACTTATTAGTTCTCATCGGTATGCCACAGGAGAGGTGATCAACAAATGATTTAGCTAATTCGATGTCTAACACGTTTTGAGTGTGGGTGGGATATAACCTACAAAGTACATGTCAAATCTTAAATGTCTTTTACTACTCAATGCCTACTCAAACAAGGCATTGATCGCTTTGTACCTACTGGCAAAGAGTGACCTACAAATCTATAGGTACTACGAAAGCATGACTTGTTTTCCACTAGGCAAAATATTTGTTTTTACTAATATCGTTGTGGGAAACAATTCCGTGAGCTAGTCTCATCTAGCACTGAAAAAACTTTTAATGTGAGCATAACTTTTGAATACCACAAGCAATGAATAGCGCACGTGACTAAAAATTTTTCAAAAAGTCAGCTGTCTCGATAAGCTGCAGTTAAGAGGGCTCTGTACCGAATAGCCAACCAGCAATACATTTTTATAGATTTTATTACACAGTTTGTCTAAATACAAATTAATGCACAAATAACAGACTTTCCTCCATTCTAAAGCAGATTTTCTATAAAATGGACTTAGTTTGAAGCTCAAATTAAATTTTCTTGTAAAGAAATTTGAAATTTGTATCGTAAATTACAAATATATTTACCCCAAAAAGTAATTTGAGCTTCAAACTAAGTCCAGTTTATAGAAAACCTGCGTTAGAATGGAGGAAAGTCTGTTTTTTGTGCATTAATTCGTATTTAGACAAACTGGGTAATAAAATCTATAAAGGTGTATTGCTGGTTGGCTATTTGCTATAAAGCCCTCTTAAAGCAGAAACAAATACTTTTCTTACACGAAGGAGCACGTAAGTGTAAAAGCCATGGTGAGAAAATTTTAATTGACTTTATTAGATAAAGTTTTTCTACAAAATAAGTTGTTTTAATCCATCTAATAAGATATTAAAAAAAACACTTGATTCTATGAAATAATGTCCATATACATATATATTAAATAATACTTATAACAAACAATAAAATATGTGCATTCACATAATATTCTCTAAAAGTTTTCTCAACAAAAAAACGAGACAATCAACAATAGAACATCTGAATAAAAACTTTTGATATTTCTTTAAAACTTCTTACCTTAAATGCATTTTATCAAATTCTCTGAATATACACAAATTTGAACAAGATTTCAGTCAGAGTTATCACGTTTTTAAAACTGTTTTGTCAAACTATAATTATAAAAATCTTGAAACTTTTTTTTTAATACCTCTAGTAGTAAAAATTAAACATTTATAAAAATTGGTATAAAAATAATCGAATATAAATTGAAATACTTTCCATGCTTTAAGAGAGAAGCAATTGGTTCCATAAAAAACGACTAAAAAATAGAAAATGCAATAACTATAAGTAAAAATTCTCCTATATCACTAAACATAAAGCACGACTTTCACAGATATTGAAAATAGTTTTTTTTTGTCAACGTTAAACTGGTCCATTTAGTTTCTCTTATAGATCGAGCATGTTCTGAAAACTGACAGGAAAAAAAAAATAAAATTATTGAAAACGCAAATCGTGATCGGGAATTATCAATGAACATTAACGCACCTGCTAGCCACAGACGGTGTGTCCCGTTGAGGGTCCGGCGAGGAATACGGGTGTTGCGGCGTGTTGGGGAAACTGTGTCCCGTGAATCCTGGAACGTGAATCATCAGTTGGGGTTTCACGTAACCGTTGTTGGACGTGGGCGGGTTATCTGCAAAAAAGTGTGACAGCCTTTGATTTAATTTTTTTACTATGGCAAAGCTTTTACAAAGGATACACACTGTTTAATACTCAGCACTTCAAAATTAATTTAGTAATGTACAAAAAAATATACAACGGGAGGGGGGGTGGTGGGTTAGTTAGTCAGTTTTATAGGGGTACAAGTACGTACGAGTAAAATACTAATTTGTAATTATTCTTTTTTTAATTGAGTCAAGTTATACCAACTGTATGAAATATAGTGATAAACAGCGAAACTGCAATGGAAAATAAATTCATATGGTATTCACCGCGGCACTTATTAGGCCTCTTGTACACCCTCCTTCATTACTCGAGTACTTTTCTTCAAACCATCCTATTTACTACACGGGTGGCTTGGTGGCAAAGTCTCGTACAGTTTATGGATGATAACATGGTCTTGAGTTACAGAGATTTTCTTTGCTCTGTTCTCATTACCATTTATCGGGGACCACACACATGCGGCAAATGTTGGGCGACCCAGGTCTCTGGTAGGCTGCCACAGCCACGTCCCCGAGCCTGCCTTAGGTCACCCATCTAAATTCCAGCCTGCGTCCGTGATGCTCGCCTCGGCAGATCGAAATCCGACGGCCAAGACACCCGACTAGGCGGTCCCCAAATTCATATGGTTTTGCGATATGTTATTTTAAAGTTACCATATACAGGGTGTTCCTAAATATCATGTACATAAGGGAGGGGGTAATTCTTTGGCTTATTTCATAACAAAAAATTAATATAACATAAGTCCACAAACGCTTCGTTACCCATCTACATGGTGTTGAAATTTTAAGATTTTGGTCTCTCTTTGGTCAAAATTAATAGAACCAAGAGATTATGCAAATAAATCCAGAGTCTACTGGACCAATTTAAGAATTTCAATTTCATCTAATGAATTACACAATATCGCTATTTATTTTTTTTTGTCAATAACGGTCGCAGATATGAAAAAATCATAAGAGATCAAAAAGTTTCTCAACAAAACATAAAATTCAATTTCGATTTCAGGATCTACCAGCGGCGCACCGCACAAAAGTTCAGGGGAAGAAAAGGGGGCATGACCCTTGTAGAATATCATGACCATTTAGCATGCCCAACGATGTAAGCTCTACAGGGTAACCTATAGTTCGAATTTGAGCTAAATATCTCAAAAAGTGTAGAAGCTATAGAGAAAAAATTTAAAAAAATCTTTAAATTTCAACACCCAGTAGATCGGTAACGAGGCTTTTGCAGACTTATGTTTATATGAATTTTTAGTCATGAAATAAGCCAAAGAATTATCCTATGTACATGATATTTAGAGACACCCTGTATACTGTTTTATTAGTATGGACAGAGCCCTAAACCTACAGATTGTTTGACAAGAGCGTGTATGGCCAAACTTTGTCCTCGAAATCGTTAAGAAGGGAAATTCAAGTCGGAGCAGGTAGTGATACCCTTCCTCTCAGATAATTTGTACAGAATGCCTCAGTTGTCGACCTTGGTCATAGAAGACCATATTTCACCATGTCTGCACCGTACGCATCACTTTACGAAGCCGTGTTTCTGTGTTTACATCCAAAAGTTACCAAAAATATTGCTTGGAGTGGCCGCTAAGTACATGAAGTAGAAGATACTTGTAAATGGGTGAAACGTTATTCCGACGTAAAAACGTCGACGACCTACCGGATCGTGGCTCTGTACGAAAAATGATGAAAAAGGAGGACAGTGATTTTATGGGTGTTTGAGAAGAATCCTCGTCTACCATTGCACGAGGGGCAAGCGATTTTGTATAAAAAGGGTCTAAATGTGTTGTGTGACACTATAAGAAGACGTTTACTGGCTCATGAAGTGAAATTTGTCTGAAAAACATGTCGAAAAAAGACTCAATTAGGCGAAAGAAAATTCGGACCGTGATTGGGGCAATGTAATTTTTTCAAACGTAGCTTCTTTTTGGGCATCCACAGAGGGCAAAGACAATGTTTTTATTGTCAGTGTTGCGAGAAACAACTACTCCGAGGGCTATATGTCCCTACCGGCATTGAATTATACTCGCAACACACTGATGAGGACTAATAAGTCCGAAAACGGTCTGTGCCTGGTGGATTAAACTGACGAACGACCCTAGCTGTTGCACCTAGGTGTTGCGAGTATAATTCAATGCCGGTAGGGGCATATAGCCCTCGGAGTAGTTGTTTCTCGCAACACTGACAATTTAAAAAAAAATTAAAATTATTAATAATATGTATGTGTATAATAGTATGTGTATTTTTTTTCAANTTGGCTATTTGCTATAGAGCCCTCTTAAAGCAGAAACAAATACTTTTCTTACACGAAGGAGCACGTAAGTGTAAAAGCCATGGTGAGAAAATTTTAATTGACTTTATTAGATAAAGTTTTTCTACAAAATAAGTTGTTTTAATCCATCTAATAAGATATTAAAAAAAACACTTGATTCTATGAAATAATGTCCATATACATATATATTAAATAATACTTATAACAAACAATAAAATATGTGCATTCACATAATATTCTCTAAAAGTTTTCTCAACAAAAAAACGAGACAATCAACAATAGAACATCTGAATAAAAACTTTTGATATTTCTTTAAAACTTCTTACCTTAAATGCATTTTATCAAATTCTCTGAATATACACAAATTTGAACAAGATTTCAGTCAGAGTTATCACGTTTTTAAAACTGTTTTGTCAAACTATAATTATAAAAATCTTGAAACTTTTTTTTTAATACCTCTAGTAGTAAAAATTAAACATTTATAAAAATTGGTATAAAAATAATCGAATATAAATTGAAATACTTTCCATGCTTTAAGAGAGAAGCAATTGGTTCCATAAAAAACGACTAAAAAATAGAAAATGCAATAACTATAAGTAAAAATTCTCCTATATCACTAAACATAAAGCACGACTTTCACAGATATTGAAAATAGTTTTTTTTTGTCAACGTTAAACTGGTCCATTTAGTTTCTCTTATAGATCGAGCATGTTCTGAAAACTGACAGGAAAAAAAAAATAAAATTATTGAAAACGCAAATCGTGATCGGGAATTATCAATGAACATTAACGCACCTGCTAGCCACAGACGGTGTGTCCCGTTGAGGGTCCGGCGAGGAATACGGGTGTTGCGGCGTGTTGGGGAAACTGTGTCCCGTGAATCCTGGAACGTGAATCATCAGTTGGGGTTTCACGTAACCGTTGTTGGACGTGGGCGGGTTATCTGCAAAAAAGTGTGACAGCCTTTGATTTAATTTTTTTACTATGGCAAAGCTTTTACAAAGGATACACACTGTTTAATACTCAGCACTTCAAAATTAATTTAGTAATGTACAAAAAAATATACAACGGGAGGGGGGGTGGTGGGTTAGTTAGTCAGTTTTATAGGGGTACAAGTACGTACGAGTAAAATACTAATTTGTAATTATTCTTTTTTTAATTGAGTCAAGTTATACCAACTGTATGAAATATAGTGATAAACAGCGAAACTGCAATGGAAAATAAATTCATATGGTATTCACCGCGGCACTTATTAGGCCTCTTGTACACCCTCCTTCATTACTCGAGTACTTTTCTTCAAACCATCCTATTTACTACACGGGTGGCTTGGTGGCAAAGTCTCGTACAGTTTATGGATGATAACATGGTCTTGAGTTACAGAGATTTTCTTTGCTCTGTTCTCATTACCATTTATCGGGGACCACACACATGCGGCAAATGTTGGGCGACCCAGGTCTCTGGTAGGCTGCCACAGCCACGTCCCCGAGCCTGCCTTAGGTCACCCATCTAAATTCCAGCCTGCGTCCGTGATGCTCGCCTCGGCAGATCGAAATCCGACGGCCAAGACACCCGACTAGGCGGTCCCCAAATTCATATGGTTTTGCGATATGTTATTTTAAAGTTACCATATACAGGGTGTTCCTAAATATCATGTACATAAGGGAGGGGGTAATTCTTTGGCTTATTTCATAACAAAAAATTAATATAACATAAGTCCGCAAACGCTTCGTTACCGATCTAAATGGTGTTGAAATTTTAAGATTTTGGTCTCTCTTTGGTCAAAATTAATAGAACCAAGAGATTATGCAAATAAATCCAAAGTCTACTGGACCATATTAAGAATTTCAATTTCATCTAACGAATTACACAATATCGCTATTTATTGTTTTTCTCGATAACGGTCGCAGATATGGAAAAATCATAAGATAAAAAAGTTTCTCAACATTTAATTTCGATTTTAGAATCTACCAGCGGCACACTGCACAAAAGTTCAGGGGAAGAAAATGGGGCATGACCCCTGTAGAATATCACGACCATTTGGCATGCCCAATGATGTAAGCCCTACAGAGTAACCTATATTTCAAATTTGAGAAGCTATACAGAAAAAAACTAAAAAAATTTTGAAATTTCAAAACCCAGTGGATCAGTAACGAAGCGTTTGCGGACCTATGTTTATATGAATTTTTAAGTCATGAAATAAGCCAAAGAATTACCCCCTCCCTTATATACATGATATTTAGGAACACCCTGTATATTGTTTTGTTAGTATGGACAGAGCCCTAAATATACAGTTTGTTTGACAAGAGCATGTATGGCCAAACTTTGTCCTTGAAACCGTTAAGAAGGGAAATTCAAGTCGGAGCAGGTAATGATATCCTTCCTCTCAGATGATTTGTACAGAATGCCCCAGTTGTCGATCTTGGTCATAGAAGACCATATTTCACCATGTCTGCACAGTACGCATCACTTTACAAAGCTGTTTCTGTGTTTACATCCAAAAGTTACCGAAAATATCGCTCGGAGCGGCCGCTAAGTACATGCAGTAGAAGATATTTGTAAGTGGGTGAAACGTTTTTCCGACGTAAAAACGTCAATGACCTACCAGATCGTGGCTCTGTACGAAAAATGATGAAAAAGGAGGACAGAGTGATTTTATGGGTGTTTGAGAAGAATCCTCGTCTACCATTGCATGAAGGGCAAGCGATTTTGTATAAAAAGGGTCTAAATGTGTCGTGTGACACTATAAGAAGACGTTTACTGGTTCATGAAGTGAAATTTGTCTGAAAAACATGTCGAAAAAAGACTCAATTGGGTGAAAGAAAATTCGGACCGTGATTGGGGCAATGTAATTTTTTCAAACGTAGCTTCTTTTTGGGCATCCACAAAGGGCAAAGACAATGTTTTCATTGTCAGTGTTGCGAGAAACAACTACTCCGAGGGCTATATGCCCCTACTGGCATTGAATTATACTCACAACACACTGATGAGGACTAATAAGTCCGAAACCGGTCTGTGCCTGGTGGATAGCCTTCGGAGTAGTTGTTTCTCGCAACACTGACAATTAAAAAAAAAAATTAAAATTATTAATAATAAATCATCATGTAGTGTGTGTATTTTTTTTTAAGTCATCCCAAATAATTTTTGCCGTACAAGCTCTTATCAAACAAACTGTAAAAAAAATTTTCCGATTATAAAAAATTTATATTTTTTACATAATTTATTATACAGGGTGATTCACAACTTATCCAAAAAAAATTTTTTAATAGACGCCGCATGAGAAATGGAATCAATATCGTAAAAAATTTTTTTTGTAAAATCCTGTTTTCGAGAAAAAAATTATTGAAGTTGTAGTACTTTTAATCATTTGCAATATGCGTGGGGAGTCACGTGGCCTAAGTGACTGAATACTGAAATCCGATTTTACAATCATCGTTACGATCGTGTTTACAATAGTTTTTTAGTAGTTAGTGTCAAAAATGGCTTGCGTGTATAGCAACTCGGAGTTGATGAATATCGTTTTCATTTATAGTGAAGAAAGACAACTTTTGTATTATGGTGAAGCAAGACAACATTTGTGTTAGTTACCGAATAAGATGTGTTTACACGTGGACAAAATTTTAAACAATTGTAACATCACGTATGTCAAATTATTTTATTATTTAAAACCACAAATTAATTTTATTAGTAATAAAAATCCTTGCGAAATTCTTTCAAAAATTTTTGTCCGATTTTTTTATCACACTGCTGCCATGGCGGTCGCATTGGCAAGGTCAGGTTTTACAGTGGACCAGTTTCCAGTGCCGTGCAGAAGTATATTTTTAAATCGTTTTCAAACTGCCCTTTTTAATGTTTTTTTACAAAATTGTATTTGTAAGATTCCCCTTGTACATCCAAAATTTTTTTTTTGGATAAGTTCTGAATCACCCTGTATGTTACTAATTGCCCCCATTCATGGTTACACCCCTGTATATTCCTGCTTACCTTGATATGGTGTGTAATATTTTCCGAACGGGAGATCTTTGGATATATCTGGGTACAAATATACAAGATGGCTCAAATCCGATATACGATCCGCAAGTGATCTAATTGCGAAATCTTTAGCCGTAAACGGTTGCAGACTGAACACTTCACCACTTTCTACAAAAGAAACATCCAATGAAATACATTATTAAAAAAAAATTGCAAACTGCTACCCGATATCCAGGCGATTGTAATACCGCCCAACTCACTGTCTGAAAATCTAAGCAAAAATGTGCCACAGGTACACGCAGACAGTAACTCTTCCGCCTGCTTTTTCCTCACAAATCCCATTATTGCACTGAAAACCAAGAGATTATTAAGAAATAAAGTAACGGAATCGATTCTACTTACCCGTCAACCCATGGCCCTCTCAAGTGCTCCCTGGTCAACTTCATAATCGCGTAAAACCATTCCCAGAACGTGAAATTCCTCTCACTTAGCGGCTCTTTGCAGAATTGGGCCCAGCTCAGCAGGGCGTTAGTGGTATCGTTGAAATTACTCCGGAAGGCCTTCTCAGCCAAGAATTTTAAATTGTCGTCCGTTAATGGCCTACCAGTCGCCGCCCTGAATTTCAAGGAGAGAGTCTCTGCCACTTTCGCCCAAGGTACCTAAATATAGTTATAATAATTGTACTCGGAAATTTTTTATTTTTATTTTTTTTCAGCAATCTAGGCAGGTGTTATTTTTCGGTTGGATTCGTTCTCCCGATGTTCTGTCGATGTACTTGCACTTGCAAAATGTGAGGGTGTCTTGTCATGTTGACACCACATACGTTATAGGAAAAAAACTATGTTATCATTGAAAACAACTTACTTTAGAACTGTCAAGCGTGTCAAGTTAATTAAATGTCATGCTGCTGAGTGTTAATTTTTAATTGTTTAAAATTGTTAAAAGTGCGATAAAAATGGATGTTTTTACTAATAATGAATACACTGACATGATAAAATTTACGGTGAAACACGCGGTAACGGCACAGCTGCACAACGCTTGTATTCGCTGCGTTTTCCAAATCGTCAAAAGCTATCTGACCGAATATTTCCTCGAATTGGGAGATGCCTGAGGGAAACTGGAAGTTGTAAACCTAACAAAAGAAACTGGGGACGGCAAAGAAACCGTATTTAAATTTTCTCGAAGAGGTCTTGTGGTTTCAACATGACGGGCGCCCTCGCATTTTGCAGTTGTTGTAAGAGAGTATCTCAACAGAATATTCAGAGAACGCTGGATCGGTAGAAGTGGTCCGGTGCCCTGACCCGCCTGGTTGCCGGATTTATCTCTACTTGATTATTTCTTATGGGGTCACATGAAGAGCATTGTCTATAAAACCCCTGTCAATACGGTCGAAGAATTGACCATTAGGGTTGAAGCCACAGCGGAGCAAATTAGAAATACCCATCAAGTTATGAACAACGTTCATAGAAACATGACGTAATTTTGAACAGTTTTTGTAAATTTTAGTAGCTTAAGTGATAAAAAATTTAAAGTTTTTTTAAGTTAAAATCCTATCTGTTGTTAAATTTCGTTAAAATTGTTAATTATTACTATCTATTTTTTGAATTACAAAAGATTTTCGAAATGTTAGCAAAATGTCTGTTTTTGTTCATAAAGTCATTTTTCTTGAAAACAGTTGACCTTAGAGCAATGAACCAAGAGAACACTTTTTGTGTAAAATTCATTGGCTCTTCAGAATTTGCTGTCAAATGATACCTTAAAATCTCCACCACTGATCGTCCAATAAATTCGAGAAGGGAGCGAAAAAGTAGTTATTATAGTGGTAATGTGTGTTCCTAAGATATTGGCAAAAAAAACTAAAAAAATATTAAAAGTTTTGACACTGTGTATCTCGAAAACAAAAGCCCGGAGAGAAAAATGGAAGAGGAAAACTGTAAATTCTTCTTGAAAAAAGTTTCAAGAGGAATTTACAGTTTTCCATTGCGACACTTATTTAGAAACATCCTGTATAATATATTTAAAAACCACATAATAATCCTTCTAAGAAACCTTAATATAGTTTGGGTACATTTATCTGGTTATGTAAATAATCAGAATTATAGAACTTGGATTGCAGAAAATTCACATTTTTTTTTTTTTTTTGAAACATTTATGAGATTTTTTAGCAATGAAACTGTTCAAGTCACGTAGATTCTCAAGTCACATAGATTCTACTATGAGCACTTTCAAAGAACAAATTTTACCCTTTTACCCTATAATTATCGCCTATCGACAATAAAATAACGTGAAATGCAGTCGAGATATAGACAAATTAAAAAAAAAAAAACGTAAATTTTCCAGTAAAACCGGGGAAATTTTAAACTCAAATAGGGAGTACCGAAAATTTAAATTAAGAGCTGAAATTTAGTGAGAATTTTTTCCAATGTTTAGAACAATATTTCGTGAATGGAGTAGAAAAAAAATATTTTTTTTTCAAACAAAGCACCCTAAGAAAAATATTATATATACTTACTTTATCAGGTACTGCAAATGGTACACGTCCCGGTTCACTAAAAGCATTGTCCCAGGTCACCGTGGCCCATGCGTGAGGCTCCTGATTGCCGTGAACGATAACCACGACGGGCAAACTCAGAGTCCACACTTGGAACATCAACTCTCCGCCGCCAACGCTAAACTGAGACTGGAACAACAGAGAGAATTTCTCATCCATGACGCTCTCGGTTCCCTTTTTCTCTGCACGTTTGATTTTCTTCAACTGCATGTTCCTAAAACTGACGGACAACTGTCTTGTCGCCTGTTGGTATTCCATCGTGCCGGAATTGTTCAAAATTTCGCCGGAGCATTCGCCGCTCTTCCCAAGCTTGTCGTTCTTAAGTAGCATGTTGGCCTGAGATTCGGATATTATCGTTACCTTGACTTGGGGCGGTGTCATGTGCACGTTAAGTTTTCCGCCCACTAATAATCGTACCGTAGCTGTGAATCTACAAGTAACTCGTATTGAAACGTTTTATTAACGGTATAAAACTGACACCTACCTAGTATTTGTTTTCATAACCTGAGGAGGTTGCTTTTCAATAATGAAGGTCGATGTGACGAGCGTAGACAAAAGCTGGGTTATTTCGGCGAGGAGTTGCGGAAGAACGTCTGTAACTCCGGGAGGGTCCAAAGCAAGTTTTTGCTTCAATCGTTCGACTTCCTTGATTTGCTGTCGGTTTAGCCAAATAAGTTCTGCCAAACTTTCACACCTTAAAAGATAAATGTTTTTATCCATCACAGTTCTTGGTGCAAGAGATACAAAGCGTGGATACATCTCCACATTTAGGGAGTTTGTTATGAATTTTGCACACTAATTACTTACTAAGCAATTTTATCGGTGAGAAGTAGTAAGTTTTATCAAACTCCATTTTTTTATAATTACTATTTCCCAAATTTTTATCATTATATCCTACATAAATATTTATCAAGTTACAACTCAACTTGCAAGAAGTTTAATGGTATGTACGATGTGTCAAATCAAAACATTTGAGAAACTGTAAAACAATGTTTGAAATCAAACGTAATCAAAATTATTAAAATTTATTGAGAATTTCTGAAATTGTACCCTACATAAAAAGATCTGAATAATTGTAGCTGTAAATAACACACTCGTTGCTTTTTTATATCATTTTTTGAGGTAAACAGAAAAATTGCTAGTTCAATTTTAGGTTATCAGTTTCTGATTTAGTTGGTCATTATGGAAACGTATCTTTCACTGTTTAAGATTCAAACAAAATTATTAGTGAACAAATGTTAAAAGAATGTAATTTTCCAGATTCTTCTTAAATGCGTTTTCTTTTTGTGTTGACGATTCGAGTGTATGTGTTTAAATAAGTGCAAATAAATACAGGGTCGGAAAGTCCCCATGATTCATCGGCCGTTACGTAAGAGCGATAAAGTAAGTTATAGAAATCCGTGCGATAGAGAAAGATGGCTATAATGAAGGCGTCAAATAGTCACCGCCCATTTCGCCCTTCCACAAATAAGAAGTGGATCTTATTTGTGGAGGGGCGAAATGGGCGGTGACTATTACACGTCTTCATTATAGCCATCTTTTTCTATCGCACGGATTTCTATTACTTTATTGTTCTCACGTAACGGCCGATGAACAATGAGGACTTTCCGACCCTGTATTCTAAATTCGCTTGTCAATACAGTAACAATGAATTAATTAACGAACTTGGTGGTAACATATGGAGCAACTGATGAAAACTGATTTAATACAGGGAGGGCCAAATTTAACACTTTTGGGAGGTCTCTCAACATTTTCTGAAGACATCGAAAATGAGTTTAGATGGGACAGGCTTGATTTTTGAAAAGCTGATTAACGAAAATGGCGTCTTGATATCTTCATCCGTTCCAGAGATACAAGGCCTTTTTCAATTTTGGCAGCCATCTCTAACATTTCAAACAGTTTTTTTTTACATAGACTGCAGTGGTCTACATGATATTTTTCTACAGCTTCCATGTTTTCGGTTATAATAAACTCTATTTTTTAATTAGAACGCTTCATATTTTGATGTTTGACACCTGGTTAAAATTTCCTTTCAAATTATGTGTGACAAACTATATAAAAAATTTCTTTAAAATGAAAGCAAGTCAAAAATATATATTTGTTTTCTTATACAACTGTTTCTTAATACAATAATTAAGAATATAAAGAAACAATTAATTAAAAAATATATATACAGGGTGTTTCTAAAATAGGGTTCCAAACTTCTGCTGCGTTTATAACTCATTAAAATAAGCCAAAAAGTTCCTATTAACATGTGCCCTAAAAGCACCCTTAGGAAGTTATATGCCCTTAAAAGGGCTCAAACAAAACTGGTTACCTGAATAACACTTTCCGTTATTGACAAAACGGTCGCAAATAAATAGAAAAAATTTATGGGTCTTACATAACTTTTTATGTTAAATAACATGGGCTACTCCGTTTTTCGACATGCAAATCATATGCGTCCCATTTAGGTTGGTGATGGGGGTTTTCGGCCCGTAATTTTTTTCATTTCATTTTTTTTACAATTTTCTCTACAGATTTATAAAATCTTAACAATTTTACGTAAAAAATATTATCTTTGTCCAAATCGATATTTCCA